TTCCTGCCTTAGGAACTTGCAATTTCCTGCATCAGGAATACGCAGCAGTAGTAAGTAACAGAGGGCAGCATTTTTCTTGATATCTTAAACTGACACTAAACTCAGAAGTTAAATCTAAAAAATGCATGGACTACAATCTCACATTTAGTTTACTAATTTGTATTGAGATTGTAGTCCATCACGGGAGTGAGCTCGGAGCGGTGACTACTTTACAACACACACAGGGTCAATGGGGAACAAAAGTAGCCCCCCTCCAGAAGGAAGGACAGTGTCAGCACCAATTCAGAGAGATGATTTGAGGATCTACAGCCGAGTGATATACAAATTAGAGACATTTTTGTTAATAGTTTAGGTACTTGAATGTATTTTTAAGATTTAATTCCTGAGTTTAGTATCACTTTAAAGCTGAACTCCAGGTATAACTTATTATGCACATTTACTGTATATCGGTCCAGCTTGGCCCAATGCACACATGTATACATGTCATATCTGGTCAGCCCATTGGGATCCTGTAAAGCACTGTATTAGCTGGAGCTATCTGTTCCTGTGACACTTGCACCCTATGATTATGAGTGATATTTATATTTGTTAATAGTTAGGCTACTTAACTGCATTTTTAAGATTTAACTCCCGAGATTTGTGTCACTTTAACACCTTCAAGGTTCTTCTATCTTCAACCTTCTAATAATGCATGCATGTTATACCTTTTCATTTTGGGGGGTTTTTTTTATATCTTAATTGCGCCAAGTTCCAAAAATCTGTGACCAATTGTTTGAGGGTGTATTAAAAATGAAGGGCGTGGCTACAAATGGGGCATGTTTTAGGTGTGGTTAAAAGTAGGCGTGGTCAGTATGGTGTCCCCGGATTTTATTTTAAAAAAATTGGTAACCTTACTCTATGACCTGAACCTTATTTAAAAAGTTTTCTTCCATTTTAAATAGCTAATTGCATTTTATAATAGGAAATATTTATATAATCTGTGCTGTAGTGGACATTCAGTTGGGATTGGCTGCCATGGGCATATATCAATTTGCCTTCTGCTCAATTCTCATATATAAGTTCCAGCATTTGGCTTATTCATTTTGGTGATGCTCGGAGCAATAAGGATGTGCAAAGTGTAGTAACTCATAACAGCCAATCAGAAATCTCCTTTCTGTGATCTAAGCAGTTATGATTGGCTGTTGGTGTGGATTACTTATTTTGGTTTCATGCCATGCTTTCACATGGGGACAGGTCTAACTAATAAGCCCTCCGTATATTTTGATGCGAGGTCCACTTTAAAAACCTCTTCTAAAAATCGTGTTGCCTTTAAAATCCCGACTAATGTGAAAATACAATTCTGATTCAAAACCAAAGGCTGAAAAACAAATGCAGAATTCACAAACTCACCTGACTTTCTCTTTAGGACTAAAGCTGTTGTCACCAGTATAGTAAGCAGGACCACTCCTATGACAACTATAGACACCACGATCTTGTGATCAGATTCAGGAACTGCAGAACAGATCGATAGAATTGTAATCAGAAGAGTCAGCAATACTGAAAGCCATTACACTAACATTTAATTATAGGAAAACACACAATTCAAAAATAGTATAGGGTGGTCAACTAATAGGAAGGTATTTAAGGTCATGGAGATCAAGCTGTAGTCTAATTTCTCTACCACTATGCTCTCTCCACTAATCAACATGCTTCTTGTTAGCACATGAACACAGCACCACAACGGATTGGCTCCTTGTGCTGCTTCTTCCTCCCCCAGTCTGGGCTCTGTTGTACAGGGATTGCAAGAGGATCAGTGGCGTAACAATCACCATAGCGACCCAGGCGGCCGCTATGGGGCCCGAGGCACGGCGGGGGCCGGCCAGGACATCTCCCTGATGCCATGCGGGCCGCCTGGGTCGCTATGGCATCTTGCTCGGACAGCCAGGCTGCTGGCTGTCACTGGCGGCTGTGAGGAGGAACGCTCCATTCCTTCTCACAGCCGCTGCTGAGTTGGTGACAACCAGCAGCTTTGCAGGAGGTGGCGGGCCCATCATCGGCAGTGATCGAGGAGGCGGGCCCGGCGATCGAGGGGCGGGGCCCAGCGATCGAGGAGGTGGAGCCCAGTGATGGAGGAGTCGCTCGTGGAGGAGAAGGAGGCGGACAGAGGATCAGGGCTATCAGGTAAGAGGGCTTGACCGCCCGCCTGAGACTCCTGCAGAGAATACCATAGAGAGTCTATGGTGGGCTCCAGAGGGTCACCCTTAGAAATCACAGGGCACCATACAAAATTTTGCTATGGGGCCCTGTGATTTTTAGTTACGCCCCTGAAGAGGATGATACTATCTTAGAATCAGGTACTTACACTGCTTGCATTTAACAAAACTCATTAAAAAATGTAATTAATAGAGATGTGCCGCCCCAATAGGGGCATAGAATATGAGATGCATAGTCTCAGTTAATATTAGCATTGTTATATAGGTTAGAATTTATATAGTGTGATTTGCCTAACTATTTTCTCATAGCTAAATTCATGTGTTATCCTATGCTGCCATCTAGTGGCCTTTTGTTGTAACAAACATGTTTTCTGTAATTATTCCTCATGTGACGATGTATTTCCCCCTAGTGTACGCCCCTTCCTTCTTCCTGTGTGCAGTACTTCCTGTGTCATGGCCACAGTTAAAAGCCACATGTAACAAGGACACACATGTAATCTGCACAGTACGTAGGAAAGGCATCATTTCCTGACCGCACAATACTATAACCGTTCAACTGCTGTTCCTATCATCTGCTGTAACCCTGATGTTAAAGAATAAACACCTCTTTTGAATGAATCGGTATTGACGAGTTCAGCTATCTGACGAGGATTGTCCGCAGTGAGTATATCTGCTTATACAGGCCAGGCATAGAGGTCTCAGCAAGGGATATATTTCGCTATCACAACGATCGGAGTCAGAATAAGAGAGCTGCGTAAATTTGTGGCATTTATATCTACTTGGAATTCAGCTTTACTGTAAAGTAATCAGCAAAAGCAACAGCATCAGGCAGACAGCATACGTCTATGGACAGCTTGCTTTGGATGACTATGATAGAACCTGATTTTCAGTAAACTCCGATATGACCACACCTGTGTTGGCTAGGCAGGCCAGCCATTCCATTAGAATGTTACGGAGAATCCAAGGCAGAACCCAGGCAAAGAAGCTGTTGCATTTACACTTTGCAAGGGAATTTTCTCTAAGCTTTGTAAATGAGGTGAAGCTCTGTTGACTTACATAATTCAATCATGTGCAAGTAAAATACAGGTTTTTGTTAATTTTCCTTGCACGTGATTTGTAATCTTTGCAAAGTGATTTGCAAGGTAAGGAATATTCCCCTGCAAAATGGATTTCTACATACTGTAATATATATATATATATACACTGAGTGGCCAGATTATTATGACCACCCCATCAGTACTTCGTTGGGCCACGAGATAACTCCACGAGATGACTCTATGAGATGACTTTGTTGGGCCGCCTCGTGACTCCACGAGATGATGAAAGGTGATGCGAGGACTCTGACACTGCACTGTTGCCCTTCTGTTGTCTTGTACCAGTTTTGCCACTCTTCGTTCTTCCCTAACATTGACTAGTCGCTGACGACCACAATTCGCACGTTCAGACCCAAATTTTCGGCTGACAGTCCGGTCTTTAAACACTTTAACAACAGCTGCTCTTGAACATGTAACGAATTCTGCTGTTTTGCTGATACTCGCTCCATGGCTCCGAGCGCCAACAATCATCCCGCGTTCAAAGGCTGTTAAGTCGCGTTGTTTCCCCGTATCTTCAGAAACAAATCACTTCTACTGTCGTGGTAAACAACCTGCTAGCCCTCTAGCCCTCTAGCAACTTCAGCACAAAATTATAGCTAATTTGCCTACAAACGTCAGGTGGTCATAATAATTTGGCCACTCAGTGTATATCCATATTGATAGGTATGGACAGGCAATTTTGGCTACATATTAAATTGTGTCCATTCTTTCCTTAAAAGCATACTATCGTGTTTTTTGAGAACATGAGGTCCTTTTTTAGCCACCAGTGTGGGATTTGCTAGAACTTTCTTTATTCCATCAATATGGTCTTTTGAGAGTTTTCACACAGATATGGTGTCTTAGAACAGTGGATTTTATACTTATACTCTTTTAACAAGAGTTTATAATACCGTAATATTGTGGTTTTTGTTTTTTCTTGGAAGGGAATTCCCCCCCCCCCCCCCTTTAATATTGTAATGAGTTTATAAATCTGCAACCGTGTGTATAGACATATATGCTTACCGCCTGGACCCTTCCTCTATCACTATGACTATGCCCATTATTGGGTGAAACATGTCAGAGTGAGGAGGATCCATGGTGGGATATAAATAGTCCTCCTTCATCAGGGCTTAGGCAATTTGTTACAAACTGCAATGTACTCTGTATTAGGTGCCTGGGGTTGTATATTAAAGCCAGAAGTGGGTAGCCAGGGAGAGTCACTATTAGATAGCTATGCAGCCAAAGCTCTGCTGCCTTAGCATTCGATTTAAAAAGGTCAAACCTTACAAATAGGTTATTCTATAGATTGGTTTCTGTCAATGGAAGCAGTGATAATGCTGCTTACCAGGTATAAGGATACCCATTGACCCATACACTGTACTGTATGGGTAAAGGCACCTGACTATTATACCTACCATATGACTTGTCTAACATCAGTACGTGACCTCAAGAATGCTATTTTGGCTGAATGGGCACAAACTCCCTCACACTCCAAAAATCCTTCCCAGAAGATGTTATAGCTACAAAA